TAGCTCCGCACGCGGGCCTTGGAGCTCTTGTGGTGGCTATCGCAGCTGTGCCTCCTGGTCCTCGTCGCTCAGCTTTTGGTCATCGAAGGTCTTCTGGTGGCCCTGGTAGCTCTGCAAGCGGCTCTCGTACTGCTGTTTGGCCCGCGTAGCTCAGCTTGCAGCCCTCGTTGCTCAGCTGGTGGGCCTCGCAGCCCGGCCCGTAGTCCTCGTAAGTCTGCTTGCGGCCCTCAGCGCGCGGTCCTGGAAGCCCTGCCAGCGGTCCTCGTAGCCTTGCTGCTGGCTTTCGTAGCTCATCTTGTGGCCCTTGTAGCTGCGCGTCGTCTTCCTCCTCCTCCTCCTCCTCCTCCTCCTCCTCCTCCTCCTCCTCCTCATCATCATCATCATCATCATCATCATCATCATCATCATCATCACCATCACAATCACCATCACCATCATCATCATCATCATCATCATCATCATCAGCATCAGCATCATCATCATCATCATCACCATCACCATCCGCATCAGCATCAGCAGTAGCATCAGCATCATCATCATCATCAGAAGCATCCTCATCATCATCATCATCATCAGCACCATCAGCATCAGCATCAGCATCAGCATCAGCATCAGCATCAGCATCAGCATCATCATCATCATCATCATCATCATCATCATCATCATCATCATCATCATCATCATCATCATCATCATCATTATCATCAGCATCATCATCATCAGCATCGTCCTCCTCATCCTCCTGTTCCTCCTCCTCCTCGTCTGTTTTCTTGGTCTCCCCCTCGTCTGCCTCCTTTTTGGTCTCATCCTCGTCTGGCTCCTTCGCCTCCCCGCGGTCAGAAAAAAAAAAGTCGTCGGCTGCCAGGTCGTAGTGTTTCGCGTTCGAGTTGCCCGGTTGTGGCCCTCGAAGCCCAGCTTGTGGTTATTGCAATTCTGTTGGTAGCCCTTGTGGCTCTGCTTATAGACCTCGCAGCCCCCTTCTTGCCGTCGCGGGTCTTCTGGTGGCCCTGGGAGCCCAACCTGTGGCTCTCGAAGCTCTGCTCCTTGCCGTCGTAGCTCAGCTGGTGGCCCTCGAAGCTCATCAGGCTGGTTTCCGTGAAGCATATGTAAGGGCGAACCATTTTCGTAGTAATATGCGCCCCCGTTGTGAATGTATTCCTGACCGTGCTGGTCGTACTCGTCGTGCTGGCGGTTCTTGCCAATGCCGCGCGGGAAGTCGTACAGATCTCCGACTGGCACCTCCAGAGCAGTAGGCGTTAAAGGTATAGTCAGGGTCCACTGTCTCTACCACTGGGTGATTGAACGCAGGGCTTCACCTCAGCACCGTCCGCCATCGTAGGGTCGTCCTTCCTGGCGCAGGGACTGTCGTACTTGCCAGACCGCACCCACGCCTCGCATGCATTACGACGCCGTTGGCGGGCGAGAGGACGTGCAGTTGTAGCCCCATAGAACGTCGTGGCGTAGGCGGAGAAGGCGGAGGAGGAGGAAGGGGGAGGAGGAGGAGGAGGAGGAGGAGGAGGACGAGGAGGAGGAGGTGGAGGAGGAGGAGGAGGACGTATGCTGTGGATGCAAGGCCGCCCTGACGCTGGGCAGCCCCCCGATGCCATGGCAGCGTCCTCTGACCGCCGCCGCGGTGGGGGGGCTGTGGCCGGCCCGCCGGGCGCGCGGTGCGCGCGCGCGGGCGGGCGCGGGGAGGGGAATCCCGCATGCGGCCCTTGAGCCAAAACGGCTACGGGCCCTCCTCCTCCTCCTCCTCCTCCTCCTCCTCCTCCTCCTCCTCCTCCTCCTCCTCCTCCTCCTCCTCCTCCTCGCCGCGGGAAGAGACGAAGGCGGACGGCGGCGGGACGTGGCCGCAGGGCCAGGAAGGGGGTAGATCCTATGATTCTTTCAGAACGGAGAATATGATACTCCAGAACTCCAGAACGATGCACAGCAATGCCAGGCAGTGCCACGCGGAGGTCGACGCGAATCAGTGCAGAGCGTGCGGCGACGAGGCGGCGGGCGGCGACGAAACGTCGGGGAATTCCGGTTTCCATTGGGGATTCTGGTTCCCAGTGGGGTGGGGGGAGGAGGAGGAGGAGGAGGAGGAGGAGGAGGAGGAGGGAGGATGAGGAGGAGGAGGAGGAGGAGGAGGAGGAGGAGGAGGAGCATGAGGAGGAGGAGGAGGAGGAGGGAGGAGGAGGGGGAGGAGGAGGATTTTTTTTTTTAACATCGACAACTGCCAAGCCATACTCTCTGGGGGGACGGCGCCTCCCCCCAGAGGAGGGGGCAGGGCTGGGTGGCGCCACCTGCCACTTTCGCCACCAGCCCTGCCCCGCCGCTGACGTCACACCTGCCGTGAAGCCCACCACAAGCGTGAACCCGAAGAAGACCTCAACGGACAGGAGCACGCACGGCATCATGAAGAGCTGCCAGAGTCGTCCCAATCCTCGTCGAACAAACGCCTGAGACACGAACTGTGCCACGATGCACGGCAGCGCGGACAGGCTGCCACATCCGCTCCGCGAGGAATGGGCATTCCGCATGCCCTGCATGAGCACCTCCCTGGCCCGCGTCGCCGACGAACGAGGGCACCATCGCAACGGGCGCAACCAGGATCAGAACCAACGGCCTCGAGCAGCCACGGCGGTACGTCAGGCAGCCGCCGCACGAGGCCCGCCTCGCGGATCGCCTCGCTGATCTTCTCGCTGTAGTCCTCCGCGGTCGCCTCGGCGGTGGCATTCTGGTACTGCTGGGAGTCCGAGCCAGAGACGGACTCGTCGCTCTTGGAGGGGCCCACGCAGTCCGACGCCACGAACGCGCCGAGGCCCTCCACCTCCACCGCCGGTACCTTCACGTGGCAGCTCCCGTCCTCGGCCTCGTTGCACCCATTGAGCACCGCAGCAGGGTGCGCCTCCAGGTAGGCCAGGGTCGCGTCTGAGCAGGGCGGCGCCATCGGGGAGGACGAGCAGGCGGTGGCCACCCCAGGGCCTGCCCACCGCTCCCCCTCGGGCGCCTCGGATCCTTCATCCTCCACGAGCGACGCGTCGGGCGACGCCAGGCCGTCAGCAGGAGGTGGCAAGCAGCACGATGAGAAAGCGACCGCCCCGCAGCTGCACCGCACGCCCAACGCACGGCATGCAGCCCGCGGCACGAACGGCGCGGCCTCAGCCCGCATGCCACCAGCAGTGTGCCCCAGCCGAGGCCCAGCAGCAGCCCAGGACAGATCCGCCGAGGACGCGGCTGTGAAGCCGCCAGGCGGCACTCGGCACGCGTGCCAGGCGGCGTTCCGCCTCAGCCGCATCGCGCCAGGAACACGATCACCTGCGGCAATCCTTCGCAGAGCCGGCCTCGACGCGCGCTCGCGGTCCACCCACGAGCCTGGGGCGCCGCGAGCCGCCACAAGCGGCCGCAGAGCTGCTTCCAGAGCAGCGCGACCGCGCCGTCGAGCAGCACGCCTCGCCGCGGAGGCGCCGAGGAAGTCCTTCTCCATGATCCTCAAAACACTGGGCCGCCACAACGGCGGGCAGCCCCCCGCAGCCATCCAGGGCGCGCCCGCCGCCGCCGCCGCCGAGCCGCCGAACATGGGCGAAAAGGCTGCGGAGAAAGCGGGGAACACGGCCTGAGCCAAAATGGCTACGGGGGAGGAGGAGGAGGAGGAGGAGGAGGAGGAGGAGGGGGAGGAGGAGGAGGAGGAGGAGGAGGAGGAGGAGGAGGAGGAGGAGGAGGAGGAGGAGGAGGGAGGAAGGAGAGGAGGAGGAGGAGGAGGGGGGGGAGGAGGAGGAGGAGGAGGAGGAGGAGGAGGAGGAGGAGGAGGAGGAGGAGGAGGAGGCGGAGGAGGAGGAGGAGGAGGAGGAGGAGGAGGAGGAGGAGGAGGAGGAGGAGGAGGAGGAGGAGGAGGAGGGGGAGGAGGAGGAGGAGGATGAGGAGGAGGAGGAGGAGGAGGAGGAGGAGGAGGAAGGAGGAGAATGAGGAGGAGGAGGCGGAGGAGGAGGAGGAGGAGGAGGAGGAGGAGGAGAGGAGGAGGGGAGGAGGAGGAGGAGGAGGAGGAGGAGGAGGAGAGGAGGAGGAGGAGGAGGAGGAGGAGGAGGAGGAGGAGGAGGAGGAGGAGGAGGAGGAGGAGGAGGGAGGAGGAGGAGGAGGAGGAGGAGGAGGAGGAGGAGGACGAGGAGGAGGGAGGAGGAGGAGGAGGGAGGAGGAGGAGGAGGAGGAGGAGGAGGAGGAGGAGGAGGAGGAGGAGGGGGGGGAGCAGGAGGAGGAGGAGGAGGAGGAGGGTGCTGAGGGTGCTGAGGGTGCTGAGGGTGCTGAGGGTGCTGATGATGCGGCCAGACCCAGCTGGCCCTGCTACCGAGGCGGTCGCCCCCACTGAGGGAGCCGAGAGCTGAGCCGATGCCCAGCCAGGATTTCGAGGGGCGCCCAGCGTGGCGACGAGAGAACGCCAGGGCCCGAGAACCAAAACCAAACGAGGCGGATCCAGCCGCGGAGACGCCAACCTGCCGAACGACCGCCTAACTGCGCCACCGCCGCCCGCGGCGAGGCGCGCAGCAGCTCAGATCACTATCGCATCGCGAGGAGGCCTGAAGCGCCTACAGGAGGCGGCTCTTCTGGTAGGTGTCGGCGACCTCCTATGCCTCGAGGTAGTTGCAGAAGACCTTGAAGAATGCCTCGAAGTCGTTCTTGATGCCGAGGCGCTCGCAAAGCGTCTGGAAGCGAACCCTGGACTCGCTCCCGTCGCGCTCGACGCCCTCGAGGTACAGGTCGGCCAGCGCCTGGAACTCCTCGTCCGTGGTGGGGCAGACCTCATCCTCCTCCACCTGGGCAGAGCTGGCCCCCATGGGCTGAGGTAGGGGCGCACTGGTCTCCCTACCATCGTCGTCCTCCTTCTGGCTGTCCTCGTAATGCTTGACCTCATTTTGCTTTGTCGTCTGGCTGCTCGTCGGCCAGCTGCAGGGCCTGCACGTCTACCCCCCCGAAGCCTAGCAACTCTTCTATGCCAGAGACCCCAAGTCTGAGCCGGCCACGGAGCATTCCTCGCCCTTCTCGGCCCACTCCTCGTCGTCGCCGTCGGCGATGTCGAACACCTCTGGCATCGCGAGCTGCGGGAAGCCCGGGATCGACGGCAAGGCCGTGCCACTATCACTATCGATCGGCTTGGCACCACCTTCCCCAGGATTCGGCCTGAGGTCCTTCTGCCCCACGTCCGTGACAAACTGCACAGCATGCGACTGACGAACGCTTACTCCACCTTCCCCGCCATCTGCGTGCACAGCTGCGCTACCATCGTCCTCTTCTGACTGCCAGTCTTCGCCTAGTCCAGCTGCCACGCGACGCCATGCCGCGAACGTCCTGTCCAGGCTCTGGTAGTCCTCGGTGTCGGCCTGCACGTTCAGGCTGATGGGGTGTGGTGCTTGCTCCAGCGGTTCTTCTTCTTGGGCGGCTGATTCTCCTCCTCCGTCTCCTCCTGCACGGGGCTCTCCTTCTCCGTCATCTCCTTCGGGTGGCACTCCGCCGAGGAGAGCACGAGATCGATCCCCCACTCCGACCATGCGTATGCCGCTGCTTCCTTTTGCAACCTGTCGAACTCCTCGTCCATGCACACCAGCCCGCGAGAGCGAAGCGTCGCGTCCAGCTCCCCCAGGGTCATGTAGGACGTGTCCGAGTGGACCCTCACCTCCTGCAGTTTCTGGAGCCTCTGCAGCTGCAGCGTGGTCTCGGGCACCTTGTGGTTGCAATCCTTGTACATGCAACTCTCCCTGAAGCCGAAGTTCTTCGCTCCACAGCTTGGGCACTGCCATATCTTGATATGCACCGCCTCCTCAGAGATCTTCTTCTTCTCCTCCTGGTGCTTGCCAGCCAGCGCGTCGGCCATGAAGCGCTCCCTGGCCAGGAACACCTGCAGTCTCTTCGCCTCGTAGGCCTTCACGTCCTCCGACTGAAAGGCCCTTTGCCAGGGCACCCGACGGGCCCTCGGTGCCGGAGGCCTTGCCTTCGCTGGCGCCAGCGGCATGGTTTTCGCTGGCGAGGACGTCGTCTCCTCGCGACGCGTCTGCTGGGCACGATTGCGACACGCCGCGAACTCCATCGCAGTCGAAGACCACGACGAGCTCTGACTGGCCTCCCGCCTCCACGTACTGCTGCTCGAGACAGCCGAGGATCTGGCCAATGCCGTCCTCGACGAAGAGTGAGCTCGCCACGTGGAGCCTCATGCCTCGATGGCCGCCATGGCCCCGCGCGGCAGGCGCCCCTCCGAAGTGCGCCGCGCGACCCCAGCTCCAAGCTGAGCGAAAGGGCTAGGAGGAGGAGGAGGAGCAGGAGGAGGAGGAGGAGGAGGAGGAGGAGGAGGAGGAGGAGGAAGGGCAGGAGGAGGAGGAGGAGGAGGAGGAGCAGGAGGAGAGGAGGAGGAGGAGGAGGAGGAGGAGGAGGAGGAGGAGGGGGGGGGAGGGGGGGGGAGGGGGGGGGGGGAGGAGGAGGAGGAGGAGGAGGAGGAGGAGGAGGAGGAGGAGGAGGAGGAGGGAGGAGGAGGAGGAGGAGGAGGAGGAGGAGGAGGAGGAGGAGGGGGAGGGGGAGGAGGAGGGGGAGGGGAGGAGGAGGGGAAGGAGGAGGAGGAGGGGGAGGAGGAGGAGGAGGAGGACGAGGAGGAGGAGGAGGAGGAGGAGGAGGAGAGCAGGAGGAGGAGGACGAGGAGGAGGGAGGAGGAGGAGGAAGGAGGAGGAGGAGGAGGAGGAGGAGGAGGAGGGAGGAGAGGAGGAGGAGGAGGAAGGAGGAGGAGGGAGGAGGAGGAAGAGGAGGAGGAGGAGGAGGAGGAGGAGGAGGAGGAGGAGGAGGGGAGGAGGAGAGAGGAGGAGGAGGAGGAGGAGGAGGAGGAGGAGGGAGGAGGAGGAGGAGGAGAGGAGGAGGAGGAGGAGGAGGGAGGGGGAGGCCAGCGGGGTGGCACGGGGTGGCCAGCGGTGGGCCCAGGGAGCACCACGGACCCGCTGCCCTCAGGGGGCCCTGCCGCTTGTGCGGCAGGGCGGGCGACTGGCTGCGCGGGGGTCACGACAGAGCGGCCTCGGCCCAGGCTCCCGCGGTGGTGGTGTGGCTTCGGGCTTCTTTGAAGGGGCCCAAGGACACACAAATACATAGACACAAATCAAACTATGTCCCAGATGTTCCCATATTTTCTGGGTTTCTGTCTTCCCCCCCACTTCCCATATTACGATGAATTGTGTCTGTGTGTTTCTTTCCCTCCTGAATCATGGCCCAACCGGGGCCACCGCCCTGGCTGGGGGAGCACCGAAACAAGGATGGGGGCCGCGGGAGCCGCATCCGCGGCAGGCTTCAGGCACCCTCGCCGCGATCTTGCCTGCAGCCGTCGTGCCGACGGGAGGAACTCTGCACGGGAAACGGAGGGCTTGTTCTGGCCACGGCGAGCCTCGGCAACGAAAAGCTCGACTCTGACAGCTCGAGTCTTGACAGCACCTCCCTCGCTGGCGCAACGCCAGAGGCGGCCGAGGCGGCCTCGAGCATCCGCGTGGGGAATGGGTCGTGGTGCAGGTGGGCCACGTCCTGCGCGGGCGGCGGGACCTCGCTCTTCGAGATTCGATATTCGGGATTCGATCTTCCCTTTTCGAGTTCCGATTCCGAATTTCGACCTTCGAACTTCGCTCTTCGATCTTCGACATTCGAGCCTCGATCTTCGCTCTTCACTCCACGATCTTGGCTGTCGATATTCGATATTAGATCTTCCATGTTCGAGTTATGTCGATATTCGATATTCGTCGTCGCTCTTCGATCTGCGCTCTTCGCCCTTCGCTCTTCGAGCTTCGAGCTTCGATCTCTGCTCTTCGACCCACGGCAACGTCGAACTCTCCGAGAGCGTACAGGGACGCCCCGGGCACTGCAGGTGTGCGCATCTGGGGCGCCCCGGCCACTGTAGGGACGCCCCGGCCACTGGCGTTAGGTCGGGCATGTCCTAGAGGCGGACTTTGGGCGAACATTGAGAGAAAGACTCCAAAAAAGATGCAAACACAAAAAAAAACGAAAAAGCATCCCCCAGACTATCTTTTGACTATTTTTGCAGGGTCATCCTGCAGCGGGACACGCCCGACTTCACACTGGCGGCGTTCGGATCTGCGTGCAGGGACTAGGGGGCCACATGCGAACCCTACCCCTGCCCCCCACGACTTCCGAGGAGGAGGGTGGGGTTCACTCCATTCGGGAGCTCCCGAGCGAAGTGAACCCCACCCTCCCCCTCAGAAACCGTGGGCTCCTCCTCCTCCTCCTCCTCCTCCTCCTCCTCCTCCTCCTCCTCCTCCTCCTCCTCCTCCCCCTCAGAAATCGTGGGGGGCAGGGGTAGGGCTCGCAGGTGGCCCCCTAGGCACGCCCCAGCCACCAGCGGCGCTCGGATCGCGGCGACCTCTCCGCGCGCGTGCAGGGGCCCCCAGGCCACTGGGAGCCCCCGCGCTGGCCCCGCCGCCGCGCCGGCGCGGTGCGCACCGGACGTGGTGAGCCTGGCTCGCCACGGCGTCCCAGCGCGGGGGGGGGTACCAGCCTCGAACGCATCCCTATCCCCAAGATTGACACGCCAAAAGGCGATGACAATCTTAGGGATCCGCCCTCAACAAATAAGGGAGTCCCTAAGATGGGCATCGTGATGAGGAGGTGCCCAGCATGGGGATAGGGATATGTTCCAGGCTGGTAAGGGGGGGGCTTCTTCGAGCATCAGGGGATGTCATGGATGCGTAGGTAGAGAGAAAGAACGCGGCAGGAGCATATGCTTTCGGCGGTCCGCGCGGATTTCTGGTATCTGCGCTGGACCCCCTCGCTGGCGCGCGGAGCACGCCAGGGGCGGCGCTGGGAGGCGCCGCCGGGGTCCACCGCGGATCCAAGAAATCCGCGCGGAGCTCAGAAAATGCACGTTTGTGCTATCTGATCTTCTTGCGGTGGAAGGGGGAGGGGCTCCAGCGCAGATCCAAGAAATCCGCGCGGAGCGCCAACAAAAATATGTTTATGCAGATGTTCCTCTTCGAATGAAAATGCAAGGGATCCGCGCCCTCGGGCTTCTGGGATACATAAGGGTGCGCGTGACGAGGGCCTCGAGACTCCTGGGAGACGAAGAATTCAGCCACCGTGCCTACATGGAGCGTGCGTGCTAGGATGCTCTCCTGTTGTCAAATAACATTTCTTGGGCGTCTTCGATGACTGACCCCGACCCCACGACGCGCGCGTCCCTAGAAAGCCGAGCCCCCTCCCCTCCGATTTTGGGCTATTCTCCAGATTGAAATACAAAGAAAGCAATAAGGTGCCGAAAAAATGCGCACTCGAGGGTGGTCAGAGCAGACCCCCGAGCTGGGTCAAAACATGCCCCCTCGAGGAGCACCCAAAAGGCCGAAAAAGGTCCCCAGGAGGAGGCCCCACAAGGCCCCAGGAAGACCAAGGACTCCGGATCAAAAGAACACAGAAATCTTGATTTCCGTGCTTTCGGCTAAGACAGATTGGGAAAAAAATGGAAATCCAGATTTCCGTGTTCCCGGCCCCCCCCCTGCCAGGCGTGACCGTTTCTCGTTCCCAACCTTCTCCTCCTCCACCCCTTTTCCTTTGGAAAGAATCCTCCCTGTCGCACCCCGAGACGTGTCGGTAGGGCGGGCTGGGCCTTTCGCATGAGATTCCCGCACCATTTATGATCCGTCAGCTGAAAATTTACAGTAGCTTCACGGATGGAGGGCGGGGCGGTTTTCAAAATGTGACTCCTGCCTTAGGGCCACGCGCGTTGGTTTCCAAAACTTGCAAGAGCTTCACGGATGGAGGGCGGGCGGCTTTAACATGTGGTTTCGCCTAAGCGCCGCTTGAATCCGTTTTCAGCAATTGCAAGAGCTTCACAGAAGAAGGGCGGGCGGCTTTCGACATGTGGCTCTCGCCTTAACGCCGCGCACACTCGTTTTCAAAACAACAAAAACGAGAGCTGGAGGGCGGTACGTTTTCATAATTTGGCTCTCGCCTCAGCGCCGCGCACATTCGTCTTAAGAGTTCACGACAGTTCAAGAATTCTGAACGACAATCAGGGCGAAGCAGTTACATTGACTCGCGGCGTTGAGGTCCCAGGAATTGCATCCTGGCACGATTCAGGATCGTCAGGGCGCAATAGTAGCGTTGATTCGTGGCGTTGAAGTCCCTGGGATGGAGGTCGGCGACGACGAGGAGGGGAAGGTGGAGGAGGGGACGACACCGACCCAACGCACAGACCAACGGCGTGGCTTGAGTGGTGCGTCCAGGTCATGTTCTCATACTCTGACGAAAGCTGGATTGGATCATCATCATCAGCCCCATCATCGTCAACATCGCTCAGAATAACAATCATCATAATAAGCATAATCAGCATCATCATCATCATGATCAGCACCGCCATCATCATCGCCATCATGCTCAGCATCATCATCAGCAGCATCATAATCATCATGCTCATCATCATCATCACCATCATCATCAGCATCATCATGACCATCATCATCGTCTTGATCGTCATCATCATCAACAGCACCGACAGCATCGTCGTCGTCATCATCACCATCAACGGCACCAGGATCATGATCATGATCAGGATCGGATCGTCATCGTCAAATTCCTCATCCACATTCAGATCCTCATCCTCATCCTCATACTCTTCCTCCTCATCCACATCATCCTCCTCGTCCGCCTCCTTCCACTTTATAATCCTCACCACCACTACCACCATGGTCATCAACATCAGCAGCAGCATCATAATCATCATCATCGTTATCATCATCGACATCATGCTCATCATCATCATCATCATCATCGTCATCATCAGCAGCATCAGCAGCATCATCATCAGCATCATCAGCATCATCATCATCAGCATCATCATCATTATCATCATCATCGCCAGCAGCATCATCATCACCACCACAACAACCCCACCACTATCATTATCCTCCTCATCATCGTCGTGGTCGTCGCCGTCATCAAATTCGTCGTCGTCGTAATCGGAATCGTAGTCGTCGACATCATCATCATCATCATCATCATCATCATCATCATCATCATCATCATCATCATCATCATCATTATCATCATCATCATCATCATCATCATCATCATCATCATCATCATCATCATCATCATCATCATCATCAGCAGCATCATCATCATCATCATCATTATCATCATCATTATCATCATCATCATCATCATCATCATCATCATCATCATCATCGTCGTCGCCGTCGCCGTCATCATCATCATCATCATCATCATCATCAGCATCATCATCAGCATAATCATCATCATCAGCATCATCATCATCGTTATCAACATCATCACAATCATCATCAGCAGCATCAGCATCATTACTATCATCGTAATCATCCTCATCAGCATCATCAGCATCATCAGTATCCTCATCATCATCCCCATCAACATCATCAGTGTCGCTTACCACCACTACCACCATGGTCATCATCATGAGCAGCAGCAGCATCCTCATCCTCATCATCATCGTCGTCAGCATCATCTCATGCACATCATCACAATCATCAGCATCAGCATCAGCATCAGCATCAGCATCAGCAGCATCATCAGCATCAAAACCCATCCCGACATGAGCACCATCATCAACATCATCGTCACCGTGCCGCCGGCGAGATGTTCCCAGAGAGACCTCTGGGAACAGTAGGCTGGCTGCGCGCCTCGGGGAGCTCCCACGGGCCGTCGGGAGAAGAGCCTGTTGGCCTCCTGGCGGCCTCTTGGAAGCCTCTCGGGAGCCTCTTGGGGGCCTCTTAGACCATCGTGAGGCATCAGAGGCCCCTCGGAAGCGAAGAAGCCAGATCTTCGAGGTTTTCCATTGGTTCATGAAGGCTGTGAGCCTCCTGGGGGGCCTCTCGGAGGCCTCTCGGGAGCCTCGTGGGGACCTTTTGAGGACCGTCTGGGGCACCTCTTGAGCTGTGTGCGGCCGTCTGGAGGCCTTCTGGGGCCGGCCTGGCAGGCTCGAGGGCCGTCTTGAAACCATTTTGGGCCGTCTCGGTGCCATCTTGAGGGGTCTGGGGGGCCCAGTCGACCGTCTTGGGCCTCTCTGGGGCTCCTCCGAGGCAATGTTTGGACCATCATGGGGCCTCAAACGCCCCTTCAGAAGCGAAAAAGCGAGATCTTCGAGGTTATCCATTGGTTCATGAAGGCTGTCAGCCTCCTGGGGGCCTCTTGGAAGCCTCTTGAGGCCTCTTGGGAGCGTCTTCGGAACCCTTTGGGATCGTTGTGAGGCCATCTTGATCCGACGTCCCCTCCCTGCAGGTCCAGCGCGGCTCCTGGCTCTCGAGGGACACATCTCGGGGAAGCTCGGCTGTCATCCGCGGCTCCTTGAGGTGCGCCTTTCGGCGTCGGCGAGGAGGGGGAAGAGGAGGAAGGCGGCGATTCCATTCGCGGTGTACGGAGTCTTCTCGATTCGCGGTTCGATCGAGGGCGTCTTGCCGTGACGGCCCTGGCGTTTCTGACACCACGTGGATCGTTCAACCTTG